GAAGAATTGTGGGACCAAAGAGTATAAAATACATTCTAAGCAATCCACATAAAAACAATATGATTAAAAGTATCACAAAACCTTAGATCTTTGTGTGCAGCCAGAGAGAGAAAGAGAGAGAATATCAGTGATACTGAATGATACTGAGGAACACAGAAAATATAGGGTGGCCTTGTATGCAAATCTTGTGCATTAGATTTTCGTGCAGGTTTATCCTTGCCCATTTGACATATTGTGTCATTGAAGGCTCCTTCCACCCATATATTTGACATTGAATGTCTCTTAAAATATTTATTATTTCTGTTTCTTGTTTTGTGAATAACGTTCTCATCATCTCTGCCCAAATTTCTTATTGCTTTTCCTGCCAAATTTTTCGCAAATATATGTATCTAAGTTTGGAATGTTACCCAAGTGATTTTGGCCAATTTTGGGTGTCCTACAAGTATTTAATTTTGATATGCGTGTAATAAACTCCTCCTTCCAGTATCATCACTTTATCTATCAGAAAAAGAATCATTTATTTAAGAAAACAACTATTTCTTTTTCAAGCCCCAACCTCACAGAATAATTCCTCTTGAGCCTAGCAATTACTAACTATGACACATCAGGCTTACTGCATATTACTTCATGATGCAATTATTTTTACTTAAACTTGTAATTTCCTTAGTGAGGCCATTCTTTTTTTTCTTTTTTCAGAACCAGGGATTGAACTCAAGCCCTTGCGCTTGTCAGGGAAGCGCTTATTCTACTGAGCCATCTCCCTGGCCCCTCAGCCACCATTTTTATTCTTCATTGTATCTGTTATTAATTAATACAAAGTAGTACTTGACCACTAGGGTTTCTATTTTTAAATTCAGGTCCACTTTATTCTTTGCTTCATCAGTTACTAATATTTTGGTATTTTCAAATATGTATGAATAGTATTTTGATGTAGTTGGGGTTTCTTTTTTTGTTTTTTTTTTATTTTAGGGAAGGCTGTACAGGGTATTCAGGGTCTCACTACTAGAACAAACTTCTAGTGATTTGCCTGTCTGCAGCCTCCCAAGAACTGGGATTATAGGCACACGCCACCACGCTCAGCCTCAATTGCCATCTCAGTGCAACCCGGGAGCAGGGCCAGCACGGCAGGCCCCTGGCCCCTGTGCCTGTTTGCAGGCACTTTAATCCGCTGAACTATTTGGCCGGCTCTATCAATTGATAACTTGATTATGTTATGATCAATTAAATAATATAATGTGTATGAGCCACTTCTTTGAATAAGTGAAACTTACACAGTGGCAATGACAATGATTAGTGGATTACATACATGGTCTGTGTGCTGGAAAGTGATGTACTGTATATTCTCTGATGGTTTATTTTCTTCTAATTGTTCATGATATGTACATTACATCAAACTTAGTTAATAAGCTCTGGGTTTATTAATGTTCTTTTCAGTTCTACCAACACTGTTCTGTTAAAAACTGATTTATGAAGCGGGGTGCAGTGGCACATGCCTATAACCCCAGCACTCAGGAAGCTGAGGCTTGAGGATCACCCTGAGTTCAGGGTCAAAGGCAGTCTGAACTACATAGCAAGACCATGTTTCTAAATAAATAAATAAATAAATAAATAAATAAATAAATAAAGTAAAAAAAGAAACAAACTATGCAGGAATATATAGCAACACTTCGTGGTTCTTGTACTACAAGAAGGTGTCTAGGGAATATTGAACTTGTGCAGGGTTACTGTAATTCCCAATCTTTACTTTCAAGCATTCTATATTTGTTATGCTTCTTATAAAAAGAATATGTTGGGGCTTTTGAAGCCAGCCTATCCATCTTTTACTAGAGGTTAAGTCCATCTGTAGCAACTATGTTTACTGATACAAACATGTTCACTCTGTAGTTCTTCATTCTGTACCAGCTTGGTTGTTGTCTTCTTATTATGTAGTGTTAATTGTAAGTATTTGGTCAGGGAAACCGAACACCACAAAATTTGTGGTTATCCGTGCTTTTCTTTTCTTTTCTTTTCTTTTCTTTTCTTTTCTTTTCTTTTCTTTTCACAAACAATAGAGACTTAGAATACCTTAGCTCTAATTTCCAACTCTCATGCCCACACATGACCTCCCCATGATTATTATACCTTGGAATAGTTAATCCTCCACATTACCATTATTGGTACTACACTGAATGTTTATTTTGATTTTAAAATACATTCTTGGCTTCATACTTCCTTTTGGGAGCATTGGACGTTCTGTAAAAATAGCTGTCAGATATTTTGTTAGTCAAATGCCTTTTTTGGTAGCTTTATTTTACTGTTCCTGAAAGTAATATCAGTAGGTGAGTCTAGTACCACTTAAAAGATACCACTTCACTGTCTTCTAGGCTCCATTGCTCGCAGGACACAGTCAGCATCTGGAAAATCTGTCTTTCTGGGTACTTCTTACATCTTCTCTTTGAGTGTTTTATTCTAGCAGTTCACTAAAATGTTGAATGCACAGATTTAAAAAAAAATCTGTTTTAAGGGGATGGCCAAATAGCTCAGTGGATTAAAGTGCCTGCAAGCAGGTTCAGGGGCCAGGGGTTTGATCCCCAGGCGTGCCATGCTAGCGTGCTGAGACACCTGTGATCCCAGCTCTTGGGAGGCTATAAACAGGCAGATCACTAGGAGTCCGATCTAGTAGTGAGAACCTGAACACCCTGTAAACTCTTCCCTAAAATACAAAAAAAGGGCCAGGGAGATGGCTCAGTGGAATAAGCACTTCCCTGGTAAGTGCAAGGGCCTGAGTTCAATCCCTGGTTCTGGAAAAAAACAAAACAAAACAAAACAACAACAACAACAAAAAAAAAACTGTAATTGGGGCCGGGGAGATGGCTCAGTTGAATAAGCACTTCCCTGGCAAGTGCAAGGGCCTGAGCTCAATCCTCGGTTCTGCCAAAAAGCAAAAAACAACAACAAAAAAATTCTATCTTGGAATTTCTGAACCTGTTGCTTAATTTCTAATTCCTCAGTTTTTTCATGCCTATCTTTGAAACTGCTTCCATCACTACTTCTTGTATCTCCTTCAAAATCTTAATGAAACATTTACTTATGCTGATTGATTAATATCTTGAAACTGTCTCAGCCTTTCTGTGTGTGGATGCATTTGCTAAGCCCTAACAGGTTAGGCGATCGCCATGTGCTACACACATGAGAAGGGGCCACAAGATGCAAAGAAGTAGAGGGATAGAAAGGGTTAAAGAGAATTAAGAAATGTCACGTATATGTGTGCGCCCCCACAGCATATGCAAATGTCATGTACTAGAATGTGTACAATTTTTTTTTTAATTTAAAAAGTCTCTCTCTGGCGATCTTGAT